AAAAGGTTTTAATTTACCGTTTTTTTTCGGTTTTTAATGCCAATGTCAAGAGTTGTGTTGTGTTAAGACACAAAAAACTACTTAAAAGGTTTGCTTGGCTTTTTTCCTTCCTTTATTGTTTTTATTAGAATTGTAGTGTGGAGGTAATAATTTCTAAAATTCATATTTCACATTTTTTTATTAATATTTGAAGAACTATCAACGTTAGCAACAAATATGTATTGTGTTTAGCAACTCCACCCATATTGTTAGACTGACTGATTTACAACTGCGATTAAAATCGTAGAAAAATATCAGTAAATAAAACCATCAGCAGGTTTTGTGTAGAAGATTTAGATTTTGATTAAATTTTTATATAGTTTTTTTAGGGTTTTTTTTTGTGTGGTAAATAAACTTGGAAGGTTTAGTGGACTTGTGTGATGTAGCGTGCGCACAAGGTTTACATGGACACACAGACGGATGGACATAGCTTAATCGACTCAGTAAATGATTCTGAGATTGGATTCCGATTGGTATACTATAAGGTGGACAAATATTTCGGGTGTTTCAAACATCAGCACAAACTTATGATACCCTCCCCACTATAGTGGTGTAGGATATAACATATTTTATCGAAATTTTTTGTTTAATTCTCCTTTTATAGAAATATTTCGCATTAACATCTTAAAAAATGTTTGATAAGTTCTCTATTTATTAAAAGTAATTGATCCATCTATCTCTATTTGTATACAATTTTCAATCCGTTTTCGATATGGGCATTTCCACCGAAAAGTATATTTTTTGTCACATCACGTCACGCACATTAATTGACAATATCTTCCTTTTGATTGGCCCTTACTTTATCCTATGTATAAAGCTATTAGAGCTCTACATAAATATATAAATAATTTAAATATATATAAATATTTTCCCTAGATATAGTCAGTTAATGGTGCGTGACGTGATGTGACAAAAGTAGAGTTTTCGGCGGAAATGCCCATATATAAACAAGTAAGAAAGTATAGTCGGGCATGGCCGAGAATATGAATATTAACTATGATTTATTTTTCGTAATAAAGCAATTATTTTCAATATTACCTTGTTTTAAGCAATTTATGAGCGAAAAACTAATTATCTGAAAGAAGCTTTATATATGCGGCTAGGGGCAAATATGGACCGATCCCGATAAAATATTGTGGAGAGATTTATATAATATTTATTTGTGCTGAATTTCATAGCGATATTAGTGTTTAAAAGTAACTTTTGAACATTCCAGTCATTTTCTGAAGGGGTCTTTGTATGGGAGCTAGGGTCAAATGAGACCCGATCTTTATGAAATTTATACAAGCATTGTATAAAACTTGGTTGTGCCGCTTTTAATCGAGATACAGGTATATTTAACATAATTATGAGCTCAAAGGCCCTTTTCGAGGGGTTCTGCTGTATGGGGGCTAAATGAAATAATGGACCGATTTTAACCATTTTCAAAAAACGCGTATGGTTTACATGGACAGCCAGCCAGACGGAAGGACGGACGGACATAGCTTAATCGACACTGAAAATAGTTCTAGCGAAGACTACTGTCCGTCTTATGTCCGTGATGTTAGCTTATATGCAACCGTGTATATCAAAGGAAAGTTATTCAAAAGACCTTGCACACAGAGCTGTATCAATCAATACAGAAAGATTTTCATAAAATCTCCCTTTATAGAAAATTTTCGAAAAGTTCTCCATTTAAAAGTGAGATTATTAGCAAGTCATTTCCTAACTATTACTAGGTAAGAGTGACGATAGAGATTATGTCATTAAAATTAGTAGGAGTGACTAATGTGGACCGATTTATCTATACCATTGAACTATATCGTGTTTTTTACAGCCATAAAGACGGACGGACATGACTAGGTCGTTTTAGAATCTAACAAGTAAGAGAGTATAGTCGGACATGGCCAATTATGTTTATTTTTTTTAAGACAAAATTTATGTTTAACTTCCACTAAATTTGCACATATTTGCACAATTTACCGATTAAAAACTACATTTTTGAAATGGAGCTTGGGCTAAATTTGGACCCATTATTATAAAATGTATAGTGGAGAAATTCAAGTTTACATAAACGTTATTTGTACGGAAATTTAGCGTGTTACTAGTGATTATTAGTGAATTATAGATGTTCGACACATTTTCTAAATAGGGACTATGTATGGGAACTAGGGGAATCAAGGATTGCATATAACTTAGTTGTGTAAATTTTTGATGAAATACTTTACATGAGTCTAAATGTGAAATAATAGGCCGATTTCAATAATTTTCAATAAGCTTCGTCTTGGGCCAAATAAAAATTACAGAAAAGTATTCTGATCCTTTAAGGTGGGTGTAGGATTAATGTTTGAATGTGTTACAAACAGTGGTGTAGAGATCCAGAATATACATATGTATATGAGTTTACGCCCGATATTTACATCTTTTTGATGGTGTTTATAAAAAAATTAATTAAACAAACGAATTAAGGAATTCAGTTAAAATTTGTGTATTTTGTAAAATTTTTTTAAAATGTTTTAAAATAATTAGCAAAAATAAACAACAAAAATATATTGTTGTATATTATATGTTTACTTTTAAAATGACATATGTCAAATTTTATCGCATTAAAAAAAATCTGCTTGTCATCCATACAGTATCAGTGACATCCTAAAATGACAAATGCTAAGAAAACAAGTTTAAACAAAATCTGGATTATTCCAGTAATTCTGACGACATTTTAAAAAATATTCTTACATATTTAAGATATGTATGTAATTTAAATAAAATTACAACAAAGTTATATATTATTTCAATTAAAATTTTTTTTCAATATTCGTTGTTATTATTTAGTTTTTCGTTTTTAAATATTTTATCGTTACAATCAGCAAATTCTTAAATAGGACTGTTTATATATATATTTTTATCATCAGTTCAGATAATAAATTTATATAAAAGTGGCTGGTTGGTCACTTTAATAAATACGCAAAGTATAAATAACCTTAAAACGTAAAAAAACGTCTTATTTATGGTTTGAATGAGTGGGAAAAATGCAATTTTAAAAAATAAAAAAATAAAATAAAATTTAAAAAGAAATAAGTCATAATGTCTCTATTTCAGTATATTTCCATATTATAACCTTTAATAAATAAGAATACTTTATAATTTTATTTATATTTCTTTTAGTTAATAATTTTCTTCAAAAAATAAAATGCTTAGAGTATTAGTATTAATAAAAACTTAATAAAATAATTACTTTATTTAGAGAAATCTATTATTTTCAAATATTTTTCTATATTTTTATACCCTACATCAATTTATTGGGGAGGGTATATTGTGTTTGTGCTAATGTTTGTAAGTCGCAGTTTTGAAGATAATTCAATGAAATTTGCTACATTATCTTCTATTGTCCCAATGACGAAGCCTATTGGAAATGGTTAAGATCGGTGTATTATTTCATCTAGCCCTCATACAACTGAACCTCCGAATAGGGGTTTTAAACCTTGTAATCAAACTACACATGACCTTCTATTGTACCATCACCTAGCCCCCATTGTGGACTTTCAAAGATACAATTTTTCTTAGAAATGTAAATTTTTTGAAAAATTTGTTATTATTGAATATAAACTATGCAAATGGTTTGACAAAAATTCAATATGTTTGTGTAAAAATCAATTTTTTTTTAATTTTTGTACAAACAAACAGCAAGCATTTGTACAAACACGAAACACCATCATACACTACACAACAGGCTTGCACAAACGTAAAATATTGGTATGTTTGTCAAGCCGCTTGTGTAGTCTATTTGGGCCTTTAAGTATATCTGGTAATGTTTGTTCGTAGTCGTTAAACTTAAGAACTACTGTAGCGAATGGGAAAAATTTCAAATATGTATTCATGGGCTCGTTAGGGTCGTTCCTGTTAAGTATGAAAACTATACGGTAGATGGCGTCGCAGTAAGTTTTGCACGAACTCTTGCGGTGGATTTAAAAATGTTACCAACTATTACTCATATTTCTAAAAGAACTCTAATTTCAGTGTCCAAATAACTTTTGATTTATGATCTTCATGTATGGTGATCTTCTAAAGATAAAAAGTACATTTTTATTAATGTATTCAAATAATAATATTTGCATAGTTATTCGTTCAAATAAACGAGGAAATTTTAGAAATTATTCGATCTTTCAAGTTGTCTGAACATTTTTCGAAATGGGTGTCAAAAATTGCGTAATTTTGTGCTTATCTCGGGAAAAATAATAAAAAATTTTATTACGAGGTTTTTGGTTCGCAAATCGACTCTTAGTGCATTATATGGGGCATATAAGTTCCATAATAATCCAAAAAATTCTGAAATGGACCAAACCAAATGCCAAAAAAATTTTAAAATATTTTTCTATATAACCTAAAAATTACGACAATTTTGACACCTATTTCTATAAAGAAGCGAAACCAAATCAAATAATAATCATTTTGTGGACCTAAAATACAAAAATTTAAAAGTATTTTCCCCGTAATCAGTTCAAAATTAGGTAATTTTTGAGACCCATTTCAAGAACATTGGAGATATATTTTTTTACAAATTATACTAAGGTCAGGATTTTCAATCGCTGGTAGGGAACTGAGGACCATTCCAAAAAAATATTTAATACATAAATGTGAAATGTTTGAATGGAATTCCTACAAGAGATTCTTACAAAAGATGTTCCTCGGGCCATTCTAATATTCATATAAGCACGATCACTCTATATACCAAAGGAAACTAAGCAGCACTATCAACATGTTTTTAGGATATTTGTATAGATTGATATAAAATTTAATAAGTGTAATTTTGTTTAATTTATAAGGGCCTTATTCATAACAATTTATCAAAGATTTATAAGACAATTATTCATACAAAATATGTTCTATAAACCTTTGATAAGTTGTTATGAATAAGGCAGTAAATGTATAAAGTGTATTTTTGTGTGTTTTATGTAAATGTATCGAGGATATTCGATACTCACCGACTTTTTCCACCATTTTTGTAAAATTTCTTTTATAGGTTTTTGTTTTGTATTAAAGAAAACAAACTGAAATTATAAATATTTTTTAATAAAACAACAATAACACTTTTATAATTTATTTAAAATATTTTTTTTATTTTTCTCAATCTTTTAACACACACCTTTTATGTATATTTTATGACAATTTTTTTTAAACAAATCAATTTGTTACACTTTTTAATGGTTATATCTTTTTGTTGTAAAAATGAATTGTAAATTCGTTTTAAAAATTTGTATCTAATTAATATAAAAATTAATTAGTTGCTTTGTTATTTTGCCTTTTTTTTAACAAAATTTCAAAAACTTTTTTTTTTTAACAATAATAATTTTTACACCAGTTGTATTCGCGCCTTGGCTAAGTTGCTAACACTTTCAGTGTTCGAGCGTAAATAAACGTTAGTTGTGTATGAACTGAAACTTAGATATGTGAACCTAGACGGTTAAAAAAAAAACAATACCAGCAATAAAAACAACAACAAAGTTTGCAAAAAAAAATATAAATGAAAAACACAAAAAAAATCAACTCTGCCAAGTTAAAAAAAACGTCCACCGAACTGAATTGAAGCCATTTAGTCAGCAGCCGCTACAACACACACTTCAAAGAAAAAGAAATAAAACTCAACACACGACCACCTCAACGCTAATGTACTCATTTACTGCACTACATAAGCTTAACACACACTGAACAGGTGTTGACGTCGTTGCTAACGTTTCACTGCTGCAGCGCTGTAGCCGGCATAAGTTAGTTACTAAAGTTACGATCTTTTTGCTTTTTGTAGGCTTGATAATAAGTTTGTATGAACGGTTGCATGTACGAGAGTATGAAAGTGAGTACTTAATACTAGTACTCGACGAGTCTTGTTAATTTGTTGTTGTTTTTGTTTAACAAACACGAGTTTGTATAAAAGTGTTCGTATGTGAAAAAGAGTGCTTTCGTTTTTTTTTTTTTAGCTGCGGTTACGGTATTTCACTGTTGGTAGGTGTTTTTACTAACATGTCTGGGTGTGTGTTTGTGTAATTTAAATTTTTAGGTTTTTCTTCATAAACGTGTATTCTTATCGTTGTTTTTCTTTTGTTTTTTTTTTTTTTTTGCTAGGGCAAGGTCTTTTGCTTATTTTTCGTCTTCTGTTTTGGTTTAAGATTTACAATACATGCAACACAACTATCCAATGTCCGTATCCTTATCGTTGCTGTAGTTGTATGTAAGTGTGTGTGTGTGAAAAGGAAATTAATAGTTTATTATTCCTGTTTTCAATGTTGTTTACGGCATTTAATTGTGTTAAATAGTAAGTATTTATATAATCGTAATGTAAGAGTTGTTGAATATCATTGAGCATTAGGATGGCATTGTGGTTTATTAAAACATGTTTCTACCCTACACCACTGTAGTGGGATAGGTATTATGCGTTTGTAAAGATGTTTGTATTACACAAAAATATTGTTCTTACTCCCTAAATCGATTAAACCCCTCCGTTCGTCTGATTGGATGCATATGTTAAGCTTCTGTGCTGGGTATACGACTCAATGTTCAATCAACGTAATGATAGAATTTGGCACATAAACTTTTCAAGCCATTGAAGAAGGCTATTGAAAATAGTTAAAATCGCTCCATTAATTCACCTAACCCCATACAACCGTAGCCCCCGAATAGGGCTTTCGAGCTCATACATATCTAAAGAAATCGTTTTGTATGAGTTTAAATTTAAGGCCTGCACAAGACATCAATAATACTACAATTTGTTAAAAAATATCGTGTGCGCCATCATAAGCGCACGAAATTTTTTTAAATTTAGAACCCATACAAAATCCTCGTCGAAAAATGACTTGAAAGTCAATAATCCACATAGATAGATAGATAGATAGATAGATAGATAGATAGATAGATAGATATATAGATAGATAGATAGATAGATAGATAGATAGATAGATAGATAGATAGATAGATAGATAGATAGATAGATAGAGATAGATAGATAGATAGATAGATAGATAGATAGATAGATAGATAGATAGATAGATAGATAGATAGATAGATAGATAGATAGATAGATAGATAGATAGATAGATAGATAGATAGATAGATAGATAGATAGATAGATAGATAGATAGATAGATAGATAGATAGATAGATAGATAGATAGATAGATAGATAGATAGATAGATAGATAGATAGATAGATAGATAGATAGATAGATAGATAGATAGATAGATAGATAGATAGATAGATAGATAGATAGATAGATAGATAGATAGATAGATAGATAGATAGATAGATAGATAGATAGATAGATAGATAGATAGATATATAGATAGATAGATAGATAGATAGATAGATAGATAGATAGATAGATAGATAGATAGATAGATAGATAGATAGATAGATAGATAGATAGATAGATAGATAGATAGATAGATAGATAGATAGATAGAATAGATAGATAGATAGATAGATAGATAGATAGATAGATAGATAGATAGATAGATAGATAGATAGATAGATAGATAGATGCGATCATTAAAAGTGCATTGAACATTTTTAAAATATAAGCTAAAATTGTTGGAATCCCATAAACTCTAATGTCTATTATACTTATTTTTAACTCACAATCAACTCAATTGATAAAGCAACAGTTGTCTATAATATATAGATTCATAATTTTTGTAAGTGTTAATAAAAATTAATGTGATACCATTATATAAAATATATTTTGGAAAATTTAAATGAAATTCAATATGGCGCTTTAATATGGCGTCTAAAATGTATTCAGTTATTTTATTATGGGATTTTTTTTTTCAAGTATTTTAATTAGAACATTTCATAATAATGGAATTACCTAGTTTGTGTAAAATTTTTGCATTCAGCTCGGTTATATTTTCAAAAGTTTTAATTTTTTCACTTTTATGTTAGTTGGTTTTTTTCTAACTTACAAAATGTTTAATAGAGGATACCACTCCTTTGACATGTTTTATAACTGACAGCTTGTATGTCATTTGTATTGAGTTACGTTATGTCATGCTGTATTAGAATTCTTATCAGTTTGATTAAATTCACAGTTGGTTTTCATTTTCAAATACAAGTTATTTACTTACATATGCATGTACTTGTATTTCTCAAAAAAAGAAGGCATAGTAAAAGTTTGAATATTAGTAGAATGTAAAATGAACTACATTCCACTGACGGAAAAATTTAAATACATTTTATAAAAAAACTTTCAATAAAAATCTAAATTGCCATTCATTTTTATACCCTACACCACTATAGTGGGGAGGGTATTATGCGTTTGTGCTGATGTTTGTAACGCACAAAAATATTGGTCCTATACCCACCTTGAAGTATACCGATCGACTCAGAATCACTGAGAATCTGAGCCAATTAAGACATGTCTGTCCGGCTGGCTGATAAAATTTGGACCATAAGTGTTTTTCGGCACAATGACGATGCCTATTAAAAATGGTTGAAATTGGTCATTATTTCACCTAGTCCCCATATAACCTGACCTTCCGATTTGGGGTTTCTACTCATAACTAAGCCAAATATACTACTATCTCTCTAAAAATTGCCACAACTAAGTTTTATATAGGCATCTTCCTTTTCTTAAACATTTTGCATAAAATATCTTTCAACACTATACACGATTTTAGATTTTTAGATAATATTAAATTCATTTTTATCAAAAAGATCTGGGTCCTTATTAAATTCTAAGACGATCTATCCCTGCCCGTCCGTCTGTCTGTCTGACTATTTTAACGATCATTATTGACTTAAAAATAAAAGTATGGCGATTAAATTCGACATGAATCCGTTTTATACGAACCAACATCTATGTACAAAATTGTACATGGATTGACCCATAATTTACAATACCCGCCGATAAAAGAATTCCTTGAGGAAATAATTTTAACGCTTATGACTGAATTAAAAATGCAGGAATTAAATTCGACAGAAATAATTTTGAAACAAACCGAAATCTCTCATCCAAATTTTATAAGGATCGGGATCCATAATTGACCCTACCCCCATATAATCCCTCTTATAGAAAATCTGTTTGTAGTTATACAAATTGGACAAAATTGATTTATTTTTATTTTTGACTTATCGCCCTGATGTTTATGGGGGATTATTCCTTTTACGGCATATGATTTGATAGTGGGTGGCTATACCGAATCTTATATACTTTTCGATTGACTACTTTTGTTGAAACATTTTGATGAATTATATTTTAATCGAAAATTTTTAAGTAAAATCAACTATTCGATCAATTATACATTTTAAGACAATTTTGAACAATTTTCTTTTTATCAGTAATTTTCCATAAATTATCAATTTAAGGAAAAATTGTCAAAAATGTTCAGTTTATTACCCAGTAAAAACTTACATTGAAAAGGGATTTAAATGCTAAAATTTACTTACACAATAACATTTTAAGTCATTATTTTAAAACGGGCATGATATTGGACGCAAGTACTTACTTACAATTAGGGATTTAGGTAAGTACTTACTGCCTGCAAATAGGGATTTAAGTAAGTAGTTTTATTTCTGAGAAAAAAATTGCGTACGAGGATACGTCCACTGCGTCTATTATTAGTTTTCAGAAGAAAAAATATTTTTTTCGTTCGAAAATAATATGTCTAAAGCCTAAAGTGTAATTACTTACATAATATATTATTTGTAAGTCATTATTAGACTCCTTCTAAGTAACGCAAACGGTATGTAGTAGTCATTGAAAAGTAAGTTGTTGAGTAAGTACAAGTCATTACCAAGTTTTTGCTACGTATCTATAAAAAAATAAATACAATCACTTTTCTTTTTATCGGAAATGTTCGATTCTTCTATATAAATAAAAAATTTTAACGAAACCAATTTGAAATTTAAATCCAAAGACATTTCTAAATTTTCTATACTGGTTAGTGTAGAATATTGCATTTCGATTTTCTTTTGTTATTTACACCTCATAAAGTAATTGTTTTAGTAGTTGTGTGTTATGGTAATTCTAATCAATTTAACTGATATGAATTTAGAATTTAAAATGTTCTTACTAAACGTATTATAGAACGAGGATAAGTTTATATTTTAAGCCGTTACTGTAAAGTGCTTAGTAAAATTTTAACAAATACAAAATAATAGAATTTTACAAATTAAACACGATTTTGAACGTGCTTTGTTAACAAAATTTTGCAAATTTCATATTGTTAAGAGAAATGGCAAAATATGGGGTAGGAGTATATTGATGTAAATAAAATATACTAATAATAAAAGTAATAATCATAAAAAATTCAATAAATAATCGTATTAATTAACGTCAAAGATATTTTAAATAGTTTTTGCTACTTAAATACCATTAGTATTAAAAATAATTTAAATTCAAAACAGAACTTTAAGGAAATGTTGTTTACATTTCATTTGATTTAATTAAAAATTC